CTCTAGAACTTGCTTTATAGATCTGAGCATTCCTGTGTTGGATGCATATATATTTAGGACAGTTAGGTCTTCTTGTTGAATTGGATCCTTTATGTAGTGTCCTTCTTTGTTGGTTAAAGTTTGTTTTGTCTGAAATTAGAATAACAATCCCTGTTTTCCACTTGCTTAGTAGATTTTCCTCCATCCCTTTACTTTGGACTTACGTGTTTTATTGCATGTGAGATGAATCTTTTGAAGACAGCATATCATGCATGGGTCTTGTTTCTTTATCCAGATCATCACCCTGTGCCTTTTAATTGTGGTATTTAGCCTATTTACATTCAAGGTTAATATTGATATATGCAGATTGATCCTGTCATCATGTTGTTAGCTGATTATTATGCAGACTTGTTTGCGTGGTTGCTTTATAGTGTCAATGGTCTGTGTGGTTAAGTGTTGTTTTGTAGTTGCTGGTAATGGTCTTTCCTTTTCATATTTAGTGCACCCTTCAAAACATCTTGTAAGGCAGGTCTGGTGGCAACAAATTCCCTTAGCATTTGCTTTGTACAAAAATGATCTTATTTCTTCTTCATGTATGAAGTTTAGTTTGGCTGGATATGAAATTCTTGGTTGAAATTTCTTTTCTTTAAGAATGCTGGATGTAGGTATCCAGTCTCTTTTGGCTTATAGGGTTTCTGCTGAAACATTGGCTTTTAGCCTGATGGGGTTCCCATTGTAGGATATCTAACCCTTCTCTCTAGCTGCCTTTAACATACTTTCATTTCAACTTTGGAGAATCTGATAACTATGTGTCTTGAGGACACTCTCCTTGTGTAGTATTTTGCAGAGGTCCTCAGCATTTCTCTAGTGAAGTTGGGGTACTTTTAATGGATCGTATCTTGAAATATGTGTTCTAAGTTGCTTGCTTTCTCTCCTTGTCTTTAGGGATAACAGTAAGTCATAGATTTGGTCTTTTTGCATAATCCCATATATCATAGAGGTTTGTTCATTCTTCTTTAAACTTCTTTCTTTTCTGAGCTGACTGAGTTATTAAGCTCTGAAATTCTTTCCTCAGCTTTGTTGATTCTGCTGTTAATATTGTGATTTTATTCTGAAATTCTTGATGTGAGGTTTTTTTTTTATCAGATCACTTTGGTTTTTTCTTAAGATGGCCATTTTTTTCTTTCATCTTCCATATCATTTTATTATATTCCTTAGAATTCTTGGATTGGGTTTTGACTTTTTCTTGAATTTTGATGATCTTCATTCCTGTTCATATTCTGAATTTTATTTCTCTCATTTAAACGACTTCATTGTGGTTAAGAACTGTTGCTAGAGAAATAGTGTGGCTGTTTGGGGATAAGAATATTCTGGCTTTTTGAGTTGTAAGAGTTCTGTTCTGTTTTTTTTTTTTTTTTTTTTCTCATCTGAGTGAGCTGATGTTCCTTCAGTCTTTGAAGTTGCTGTCCTTTGAATGGGATTTTTTTGTGCGTGTCTTTATCTTCTTTGATACCCTTGAGTTTGATTGTGGTATAATATGGGTTCAGCCAACTGGGTTCATTCTTGGAAGATTTTAGGGGACTAAGACTCAGCTTAACTATCTTGGGCGGCATGCTTTAATTCTGGAGGATTGATATTGGGACTCTGGCTTTGTTTGTTGGTCCCTTAAGGTTAGGAACCTGCTGCACTGGAGAAGTGAAGTGTTCTTGAACCACTGTCTACAACACTCCAATTGGTGGTGCTGGCCAAATCACCTCATCAGGGCGGCGGCAATGGGATCCATGCTTGTTCACACATGCCAGCAGCCATGGCAGCATGGTAGAGTGTGTTATTGTTAGGTAGGGTGCTGGCAGACGTGGGACTGCTGGTGTCTGTGCATTTGTTTGAAGTGGCAGTGGTTATAGTGTGGGGCAGAGGGCAGGACCACTGGCATCTTGTGCATGTTTGTATTGGCAGTGATATTGGCATGGGGGCAGGGCACTCTTGGGCATGCAGCTACCAACTTCTGTGCATTTGCACCAGCCACATTGATGGTGTGGAGTTGGGGGTGGGGCCACTGGCACTCATGTATCTGTACACACCTTGGCAATGTCAGCATGATGGCAAGGTTCTGCCTGACATGGGGCTGCTGGCCTTCATGCACACATTTATGCTGGCAATGGCAGCTTATTGAGAGGTACATTCACACCAGCAACAGTGGTATGGGGTAGGGAGGTGAGATCCTCCCATGTATGTGTGTTTCAGCAATGCATTTATTGTTTTACAGTTCTGGAGGCTAGAAGTATGAGATCCAGGCAGGGTTGATTTCTTCTGAATTCTGTGAGGTATAATGTTTCAAGCCTCTCTCCTTGCTTCCAGTTGTTTTCTGGTAATCTTTAACTTTCCTTGGCTTGCAGATATATCATCCCAATCTCTATTTTTATGTTCCCATGACATTCTCTCAGTGTGCATATCTGTCTCCAAATTTTCCGTTTTTATAAGGACATCAGTCATGTGGAATTAAAGCCCATTCTAATGTCCATATCTTTATTTGACTACATATGCAAAGACCCTATTTCTAAATAAGATCTTATTCTTGAGATACTGAGGGTTAGGGTTTCTACATATCTATTTTGAGGGAAAACAATCTAAGCCATAATAATCATTTGTGTTATTCCTATTTTGCTAAATAAAATTGCATTGAACATTTAAACACAAATATTTGGACATATATATAAATAAGAGTGGGAATGATAGGTCATATGGTAAGTGTACGGTTAACTTTAAATGGTACATTCTAATTGTTTTAAAACAAGTTAATTCTTTTCAGAAATGTATAAAATCTCAAGTTCTTCTATAGCCTCATTAACACTAAGTATTGCCAGTCATTTTACTTTTAGCCATTCTGGCATGTATTCAATCAAATAATATTATGAAAAAGCTTTCTTTTTTCAAATGATGAATGAATGCTGCTGAGCATCTTTTTAGGTGCATGTTTGCAATTGGTATAGCTTCTTAGGTATGATGTATATTTAAATATTTTATCCATTTATAAAAAATTGTCTTTATAAACGTGAATTTTAAGTGTTTATTATATATTTTTTACACAAGTTGTTCAGACATAGGTTTTGCAAATATTTTCTCCTATTCTGTAGACTGCATCTTAGTTTTCACAGGGGCATCATTGAAAGATTCTGTCTCCAGACTTGCCAGACCATAAATTTCTATTGATTGAAGCCACCCAGTCTGTGGTACTTTGTCAAAATAGTACCAGGAAACTAAAACATATACATATTTTTATACTTTGTCATTTATTCTGTTCAAAATACTTTTATTATTTGTTTGTAAATTTTATTTTAGACTTTGGGGTTCAAGGGCAGGTTTGTTACATGGATACATTGCATAATTGTGAGGTTTGGGCTTCCAGTAAACTCATCACCCAAATTGTGAACATTATTAACTTTCTACCATGATTGTGAGGCCTCCCCAGACACGTGGAACTGTAAGTCCAGTAAACCACTTTCTTTTGTAAATTGCCCAGTTTCAGGTATGTCTTTATCAGTAATGTGAAAATGGACTAATACAACCATGTTAGTCAGGCTGACCTCAACCTCTTGACCTAAGGTGATCCACTCACCTTGGCCTCCCAAAGTGCTGAGATTACAGGCATAAACCACCATGCCCAGCCCAATATCTGAATTTCTGTTTCTTAGTTATTTCACTTAGGATGATGGCCTCAGCCCCAGCCACGATGCTGTGAAGGGCATAACTTCATTTTTTTTAATGACGGAGTAGTATTCCAAGTGTATGCATAGAATATTTCCTTTATCCAAACAACTGTTGGTGGATACTTAGGTTGATTCCATGACTTTGCTATTGCGAATAGTGCTGTTATACAATAAACACACGAGCACAAGTGTCCTTTTGATATAATAATTTCTTTTCCTTTTGGTAGATATCCAGCAGTGGAATTGCGAGGTAGAATGGTAGTTCTAGTTTTAGTTATCTGATAGCTCTCCAAACTGCTTTCCACAGGGATTGAACTAATTTACATTCTCACTGGCATGCATTCCCTTTTCTCAGCATCTTCATCAACCTCTGTTATATTTTGCCTTTTTAATAGTAGGCATTCTACTGGCATGTGACAATATTTAATTGTGACTTTGATTTGTATTTTTCTGATGATTAGTTATGTTGAGCATTTTTTTTCATGTTTGTTGGCCACTTGTATGGCTTCTTTGGGGAAATGTCTGTTCATGTCCTTCGCCTACTTTTTAACAAAGTTATGTGTGTTTTTCTTACTGATGTGAGTTCCTTATAGATTCTGGATATGAGTCCTTTGTCAGATACATAGTTTGTAAATACTTTCCACAGTTCTGCAGGTTGTCTGTTTATTCTGTTGATAGCTTCTTTTACTGTACAGAAACTGTTTGGTTTAATTAACACAATTTTTGTTTGTTTTTGTTGCATTTGCTTTTGAAGTCTTAGTCATAAATTTTGCATCTAGGTCAATGCCCAAAATACTTTTAAGTTTGCCTTATAATTTCTTATTTTACCCATAGTTGACTGATTTTTACATCATCTAATTTTTCCAATATTTGATAAATTTCCTTTGTAATTTAATTTTAGTTTTACCAATTTATTTGCATAATTTTTTCTTTCTAAATCTTATACCCCCAGTGTGTTTTATACTGCTAGGACATCTGTATTTTTCCTAATGAGGATTTCAAGTGTTCAACAGCCATGTTTGGCTAGTGGCTACTGTGTGAGCATAGTCTGTGTTTTCTCATCCTTGTACTTTTAGCTTATCCATGTACAGACATCCCCCAACGTATAATATATAATTTATGATTTCTCAACTTTACAATGGTACAGAAGCTATACACATTGAGTAGAAACCATATTTCCAGTAACCATACACCAATTCTGCTTTTCACTTCATGGTATTCAATAAGTTCCACAAGATAGTCAACACTTTATTATAAAATAGGCTATGTGTTATGTAATTTTGTCTAACTGTAGGCAAAGGTAACTGTTAGCACATTTAAGGTAGACTAGGCTAAGTTATGTTGTAGGTTAGATGTATTAAATGCATTTTTGACAGGATGTTTTTAAACTATAATAAGTTTATTGGGATGTAATCCTATTATAAGTTGAGAAGCATCTGTAATTATATGTAAACTGAGTTTCTTGTAGATTTCATATTGTTCAGTCTTGCTTTTTATTGTCTCTAATATTTGCTTTTTAAGATTAAACCATTTACTTTTCATATAAAAATGAAGGTACTAATTTTATTTCTATTTGTTCTTTCTGCATCTTGATTTTTCTCTCTTGCCTTGCCTTCTTTTGAACAAATTAAATTTTTCAAAAATATTTCCATTTTCATCTCCATTCTTTGCTTAGTATCTATATTAACTTATTTTGGTTTTAGGTGATTGATCTGATGTTCACAATACTCATATTTAACTTATCAAAATCTACCTCCAAACTAGATCAAACCATTTTACGTATAGTTCAAGAATCTACTAATATATACTTCCATTTTGCTTTTTCTCTTAGCCTATTCTTAGTATATATTTTGTGTATCTTATAAAGCTTACAATCAATTGTTAATGTCTTCCTTGGCATTATTTTAAAAAGATTATTCCAAAGGAGAAGTTTTTACATTGATTTTTCTCTATCGCTTTTCTATTTTCAATATTGTTATTTTCTGTTCTGATGTCTACTCTTTAAGGTTTTGAGTTTATCTTGGTATTTTTCTTGTTTTTTTGAAGTAACAACTTACACCATTTATTTGAGACTTTTTCTTTTTTCTCATGTAAGCATTTAGTGCTATAAATTTCCCCTTCAGCACTTCTTTAGCCCCATCCAACATTGTTTGATATGCTATGTTTTCATTTCCATTTAGATCTGTTTTTTAAAAGTTTCCTTTGAACTTTTCTCTTTGACCCATAAGTTATTTAGAAGTTTGTTACTTAATTTCCACATGTTCAGAGATTTTACTATCTTTCTATTACTAATTTCTAGTTTTCGTTTCATTATAATCAGATAACATGCTCCATATGATTTTAACTTTTTAAATTAGTTAAATTGGTTTTATGACCTAAGATATGACCTATTATATCAATATACCATGGATACTTGGAAAAGAGTAGGTATTCTGCTGTTCTTGTATAGAGTTTTCTATGTAGGAAGAAAATCATGCTGGATCATTTTACTTTTTACCTTTACTTTTGAAGACCTACCTTCCAAAAATTTATAATTTTTTAATGGTTATTTGGTTTCAACACCTTGAGCATAAAATTTTATTCTTTTGGCTTCATTCTTGCTGTTAACTATCATTTGAATTATTGTTCTTTATTAAAGTAACCCGTAGTTATATTCTGTCATTTACAAGAAATACATTCAGAAAGAAAAATCTATATTCTGTCACTTACAAGAAATACATTCAGAAAGAAAAATCATTGTTATTTTAGTTCGTTGTGCATCATGCATGAGCTCTTAGGCTCTTTTCTGATGGCAGCCCACTTTCTAAATAGGCAAATTCCAAAATAATACTATTAACTAATTACATTTTAGCATATTTTTGAATTAAATCACTTCAATTCCAAATAAGGAAATTCTGGTGTCAAGAATATGTAATCACTATACATTTTTGTGAATCTCTACAAACCATCTATCAAATTAATAGAGATAAACTGAGAAGAAAATTACAAAGACACAAACAAAAATAAACAACAACAAAACCCAATGCATCCATTGGCATCAGGACTATTGGCTATGTAACAATAGTGGTACAAAGAAGCGTGGAGAGTCCTATCAGCAGAGAAATGCAGAAATTACTGAGAGTTCTCACTAGCAAAAGCAGTGCCGCTTGATGAATGAGAACTTAAGTGGTAAACTAGGAAACTCTGAGAAACCCTTTTACATTCCAGTGTAAGTGGAATAAGTGCTACCAGACTTCAGTCGTTCATTAAGAGGCCCATGAGAAAATTTAAACAGTTTTGAAACAGCCTATACTTGTTAGAGCCTCAGAAATACTTAACCCTTTAGATGTACCTTTAAAAGTATCTTTTAGAACTTTGACCTGGATAAAAAAGAAAGAAAAAAATTCTAGAAAACCAGTATGATTGGGAAAAGTGTAAAAACTGAGAATCTCAGAGACTAAAACAAAAGAGTTCCAACACTGAGTGGAATGGACATATGTCTTTAAAAGGCAGATTTTGGTTTTAAAGGCTAGCAGAATATACATACAATTTCTTTTTAAGATGGCACTATTTTGGGATGTAAGACCTTTAAAGCATTGACAATTTAGGAGTAAAGACAAAGTTTTCATGACATTCTATTTCTGAAAGACAGGGAATTACCTAAACAAGTGGCATATTTTGAAAATATAGCAACTTTGGCAGAGCAGAGATTTATGGAGTCATGAAATTGGAAAAACAGCTATTACTGATCTTCACCTCCTACAAATGACCCACCTGCAAAGGGTTTAGGAAAACCAGTCTAATGTACAGCTGGGATAGAGAACTCAAAATATAGATATTATAAGGAAAAAGTTATAGGAACATGAACTGAATACATTCCAACAAGATAAAAATGTACCATAATTAAGTCCAAAAACAGGATGAAATATATTTTTTTTACCTACCACCTAAGCTCACATGTAATTATTAAATGCTTGTTAAGAACACTCAATATTTCACCATGCCTCTCAGAGTGTTAGTACGATTTAGTAGTAACCAGCCAATGTTGCTGTCTTTTTAGGCATTCCTTCTCTCCCTGTATTTTCCAAGTACCTGAATTTTTGCACCTGCTGCAGCATTTCCTGCCCCTGGACATTTTTCCATTTCACACCGTCAAAAGCTGTAACAATGAGTCATCAACTTGTGCCAGAATGGCATCGTCTTCTGTGTCAGGGAAGGATGTGAGCCATCCCCAAATTACCATTTGCATTCTTGGGCTACTCCTGGTATCAGTGGTGCTAGTCTTGGTCTTCTTTGATGTAGACACCAAAACAGGTAAAGATTTTTTTAGGGGAAATGTTTCTGTGAGAGAAAATAGGGAATTAACCAAAGAAGGCTGGAAGAAATGAGTAAGACAACCTAAATATTCCCCTCAGCTTCACTAAATTTTAAATATGTTTCTTCCTGAACACAGGTTCCTGTCCCCCATTTTCTTAAAAATTTACTTTGGAAAACTTAAAATTGTAGCTTCTTACTCTATCTATTGTGATGTAAATCTCCTGCTTCTTGCCAGTTCTGAAACCCAGTAATGTCTTTCTCAAATACCTGGGAACCAGCTCTTTGAAATATAATCATCAGAAAGAAAGTGTTTCTATCTCTCCCAGTGTCTGTTCTAGGTAGAGTAGAAGCCTGACTATAATAAGGGCCAATTAGCAAATACAGATGCCTAATCACATTGAACAAACTCTTCCTAATGTCCTCCAGCACTTTTCCACTAGCTCACCCAAGGGCTAAATAACTCTCCCAGTTTTTGTTTCAGGGGAGTTGAATTCAATCTCTCTCTCCCATTGCAGTAGTCTTGAAAAAAAAAAGTCTTCTTTGACCATTTAACTATTTCCAGTGACATTTTTCTTTGACAGAAGCACCAGACTTAGTAAAAGTCTAGCACTGAGAGAAGGAGAGGGAGGAAAGTTTGGTGAAAGACCCCTAGATTGCCTTGTAGTCTAAAGAATGTTTGGTAAGTCTATCATGGAGCCCTTAAGCTAATGCTGTCTCTCAAAAGAGGCCCATGTTTCCCAGTAATATGTGCACCTTACTTACCGTTCCTCTGGGGTTCAATTACTGGTTAGGGTCAGCATGTAGGAAGCTTGGTTTTGTTGCAAATGCAGCCATGGATATCAGAGCACTGTAGTGTGGTCCTCTGTTCATTTTTGCCTGTAAGGTTGGATTTCTGCTGCAAGTATATTCAAGGCAGCTATACCGTATTACTTTATTAAAACTTTTGGTTCAGTGATTTCATTGCTGGCCACTCCCCTAAATACACACTGTGACTGATTGGACTAGTCTCTTTCATTCTAGGGAAGGTGTGAGTTTGTGTTTATTCTCATGAAGGAATAAAACAGATTATCATATTGTGAAAAGAAAATAAAATTTCAGGACTTTCCAAATTTATTATGCCAAGGGGAAAAATTAAGCCCTGAAAACTGAGTAATATCACATGGGTGTTAATCTTCTCTGGTTCATGTCCATTGCTTCCTGACCTTTGTGTTCAGATGTTGTACATTAACTGTACTCCTTATTCTTCATCCAAGCCTAGACTAAATTATGTTGGAAGTAGAGACCCTTCTCATTGTTACCACTTTACAATAGTACGTCAAGCAATCTCTTTAGCGTGTACTCAATAGAAGCCAATCAAATCTTATATCTGTATGTTAGCCTTTGAATGGAGAATGTCATAATCCTGTTCAGCACCTCTGTTTTTGCATATATAAACCAGTTTTACTAGGAGCAATGGTTAGCATTCTTTGGTGACCATATTTCCCAGAGAGCCACCCTCATGTTTTGCACTTGAATAAACTCTTTTAACTATATTTTGAACGTTTTTTTATTCTTTGTGATGGAGTCTTGCTCTGTTGCACAGGCTAGAGTACAATGGTGCGGTGTTGGCTCACTGCAACCTCCGCCTCCCAGGTTCAAACGATTCTCCTACCTCAATCTCCTGAATAGCTGGGATTACAGGTGTTCGCCAATGTGCCCAGCTAATTTTTGTGTTTTTAGTAGAGACAGGGTTTCACCATCTTGGCCAGGCTGGTCTCGAACTCCTGACCTCGTGATCCATCCCAAAGCACTGCCTCCCAAAGTGCTGGAATTACAGGCATAAGCTACCACTCCCAGCCATATTTTGAACCTTTTTATTATTTTAGGTTTACAATATTTTGCTATAGAAACCAGATATAATTAACAGGAGTGTACAAATGTAGCTGAGAAGAACAAGAAATAAATTAGAATTGACCTTTGAACAACATGAGTTCGAACTCATGGCTCCACATATATACAGATTTTGTTCAATAAATATATTAAAAATTTTT